TTTCCATATAACCTTTTTTGTAATACACTGATGGCCAAATATTTTTAATTGCCAGCTCCGAGTTAGCGTGAGAAATTTCCAGTGGATTCTGAAACCGAATGAAATAGACTACTTTTCCCTTCTTTGGTGTAGACATTAAAATTGTCGAAGCGTCTCAACTACAGAACTAAAAGATTAGTTTATTATTCACTATTTTGAAGCTCTTGCTTCATTTATTATTTAAGATATCCATTAAACTTTGAAAATAGATTTTACCTTCGGTTAAATTTGTTCATTTTACAAAGTAACACTGCTTGGCAAATGCTCTTTTCTGTTATGGTTTATTACTATTTTAATAATCAGTCGATTAAGCCATTCAGAATGGATCGATCTGATAATATGATCTCATTAACGCGTCCCTTTTCGCACCCCCATTTCATTTAATCCCTTCCTTTTTAATCTTTATTTTAGATCTTTTAATTGTGCTCTTTTATTATTTACTTTGCTCACAATACTTGACACCCTCCTTCTTATTTCCTCCTTATTTCTTGTTTGGTTATTATCCATCCTTCTTGGCCTTAGTTCATATTTATACCTTATGTTTTTCAACATTTTTGCCCTATCATCTTTTCTCCGCAGGTATATAATGCCACTCAACTACGACCACAGCTCGGCGCTATCGTGTCTAGAACCAGTGTGAATTTACTCTGTCAGAAAGAAGCGGCTCGACAGACTGCTGCCCATCGTTACTTTATTCAGTTGTGGCAGAGAAGGTGTGCTGTGTTGGCACAAGCTGGGCGACATTTTGCCGATCAGGTAACCCAACTAACGCAAGGCCTGTTGCTCCGTTTGGACAGCCTTGTCTGCATCAGGGATGTCGAAGAGCCAGGTAAGATTAGAGAAGCGATTAAACACATGATGTAGTATTTATTTCTTAATATTCGATATATTTAGATTTCGTTTTCTTGCTTATCTTCTAAGTTGTGTAAATAAGTGCCAAGAAATGTATGTGAGCATTATCTACCCAACGATGTAGTGAAAGAACGCAGTCATTATCTCAATATTTTAAAGGATTTATGTAATTAGAGCATATTAGACCTAGTTTGGATGATTTTTTTCTTAATACAGGATCCACATAAAATATAAAGGCTTAGGATTAAGGGTACAATGCGCAAGATAACTTGCTAATGCATAAACATTAGATGCCTTGACATTCGTTAGATTGCAAAATAATTTTTACACTAACTACTCATGAGACTTACTCCCCTTCAAGATATTTAAACGGGGCCACTTTATCTCAGGTGATATCCGCAAACAAGAATTTGAGTAGAAGGAATAGTAATTAACTAAGGAGCTTTCGTCACTGTGCGGTATTTATTTTTTATTTAAAAATAATAAATCACCTTTCAACATCCTTAACATATCCTGCTGATTTCTTATGCATTTTGCTAGCCTCGCTGTACTACATCGAAAATATTAGCATACTTCAGATTTTGATTGTTTAACTCTCACTTTTCTAAATCACAATTTTCCCCTGCACATGTCTACATCAGGCTGTCGAGCCAACTTTTCCAGACACGCATTTGCAGCTGGCAAGCAAACTTGGCCAAATGCTGATCTGACAATCTTTACATGTTTATTAAACTCGTCAATCAGGGAATTAGCGCCTTCAACCCTCAGACGGACTCCAACACTAATGCCAACTAGAAGAGTGGTTAAAGCGCCAAGTTTTATTGCATCTCCAGCTCCTACTGTAGTCAGAATGAAAGGCTCAGCTACAACTGAGGGACAAGCGAACATGTTTATAACAGAAAGTTTGGTAATCCCTGGTAGCAGCTTAAATGATGGCGATGAGAGTGTTGGAAGTAGTGGCAGCGCGACTAATAGAGATGGGGCTAGAAGAAACTGCGGTGGCAAACAGTCAAGCTCTGGTACCGATAAGACTACATTGGCCCAAGGAGGCAACCTGATAGAATCGGCCTCTAGTTCCTTCAGGGAACCAGCAAAATCTGCCAGCTCGCCATCACTTGTTGATGTAGAGACATCCACATGCGGCCTGGTGACGGCTAAGACAAGTGAGGCCCACTTGGAAACTATTCGAGCACGAGATGTGGCTATAAAGGCAAGTGACACACGTTGCGCCGTATTGTCGTGTTTTCAATCTATTTGGTTCTTTTCACGAAGTCGTCTAGGCCTCGCTCTTAAGCATTTATCGATGACGTATAAATAATCATTGGGTTTGTTTTTTCCAGATGCGTATCTAGCAGATTGGAAATCAGCTAGACCTGGGCATATATATGTATGTATATGGAAGCCGATTGGAAAGGCTAAAAAACCGTGAAGCTCGTGAGAACCATTGGATTAAAATCTGTTGGCGAAGACGAGGTATCTTGAAAAGTTGCTCACCAAAGGAAAATAGAGCTCGTCTTTTCCTTTGGTGCTTATGAGAAAAAGATAATGAAAAATTTATGTTTTAAGGGAAAGAAGTGAATAAAGTAGAGCTCAGCCTTAGAACAATATTTCTTTTTAATTTATGCTTGAAAAGCTCGAATGTCGCTTAGCTTAGTATCTTTGATGGTCGGTGGAATGATGCTAACTGGCTAATAATTGCATGTGCTGACAAAAGTTTTCAAGTCAGGGCGAAGGTTGGCCTTTGACCGAGTAGTTGAGCAGATACAGCCAGACCGAATTAGGTATGGTGTCTACATCAGAACCTGGGGATGCTCAAATATTGTAATCACTAAAATTGAAGTTTAGTGTATTTGACTACTTAGAATGTTCTATAACGGTCTACGCAATTCATTCAGGGTCATGGAAGTATGTCCTAGTCAGAGGGTTATTTCCGCTTGAGCCCCTGCGCGGCGTTATTGCCGTCCTTCGATTTTTGCCAGTGGTCAGTCTGCTAGGCCCGATACAATGACGGTATTTGCTTGGCCAACTCGAAGAGGTGGCCCAGATTTGACACATTTAAATTCGGTCTTTGCAAAAGGTAAGTGTTAGGGGATAGCTGCGAATGTAATGTAGGGAAATCCGACGCTGTTGTGGAAAAGAAGTAATAGGGTGCTACAATATTTGCTCCAGATACTAGCTCGGAAAAGGTGGTCTCGAAAGAAATTTGACGACGCGATAGATCTAGGGGTTCAGAGTTATAAATTGTAGCCAGATTGGGTTGGTCTGCGCCTATTACCTCGTGATGACCCTTTAGCTTCAAATTAGTGTATGACTCTTTAGATAAGAGGCGAAAGGGGTAGCGATAGTGGTAATACTACTCAGTCGTCTCAGGCATCGACGCTTTTGCGGGTTGTAAGGTCTTTGGCACCGCCGACTGCAGCCAGGTTTTCACAGGATACTGCGTAATTTTTCCATCGCCTCTCCACAATCTATTGATAGAGGGCTAACCTTGATAGGGATAGTAGACTGGCCAGGCGGACCTGATTTCCATAAGCCATCTTAGTTGGGCCGCATTTTGTGTTTGCCTTGATCGATGTTCGCAGGCTATCAAGTACTATTTTTCATTTATAAGTGAATATATCTCATATCTCTAGTACTAGATAGAGATTGTCCACCCAGGTACTATGATTCCTTTGGCACCTTAAAACAAACCTTAAATTGATTGTGTAAACGTCTGGCCAAGCCGGTGGATTGTGGATAGTATACACAAGAGTGAATCCTTTTTGTTCTCAGTAGTTTAGATAGTTGGTTGAATAAGTTTGATTCGAAATGTTTGCCTCCTGATTCAAATGGCTATCGGCGGGTCAAATATGGAAACCCAATATGAAGCGACAGCCTTATTCACAGTTTCTGCTTGTATATCGTAAATTGGCATTGTAATTGCCATAGTTGTGAGTAGATATCGGCTATATGTGGATGGAAGCAGTGGATCGACAATACAGATGACTGAATCTTTCTGGGACAAACTCGAAAATACCGATAGGGGTGCTGGTGTGTCCGTGTGCTTGTTCTTTTGACACAATGCAAGATTCAATCCACTTATTCAGGTATGCTTAAATCCCTGGTAAAACTAAAAATTTCGCGATTAGTTTTCTGGAAGCTTGTATGCTATACTGGGTCAACGATGATTAAAATATAAACAGGGTCGTAGTGGTCATTCATCAGTGGCTGTGAAGACCAACTTCCCCATGGTTGAAGGTACGAAAGGACGATATTTGTCCGCAGATACGCACATGTGTTTCCAGAATAAAATAAACTTCAAGTAAGTCAGATACGAAGACCAAGATAATATGGACTCTATTTTGGTCAGCCTCCTTTCGATATATATATGTAGTATTACCTCGTTTTCACAACTTGGCCGTATCGTCAGGGCGAGCCAGTCGGGTGTACCTTGTTCGAAGTCCTCAGCTATAATATTTTTATTATTGCCAGAGTTGGACCGTGGACTTGGTGCAACCTCAGACGTTTCGCCGGCATCGCCATTTTCAGCAGTGAAGCCAATTCCTCGGCCAACTTTCAGGCTATCAGTCCACATTCTGTCCTGGCCCATCTACTCACTTAGTACTTTATCGTATCTTATCTAATCCCCGCTCTTTCACATCTTGCAACTTGCTTATATTCAACTCAAAAGGTGCTTCTTGATTTGTTGATCCAACTCGGGCCTCCTATTCGAATCTCACTTATGGGTTCATAGATCTGTTACTTATATTTCTGGTCGACCAATTTTACTCGGTTCCAATCACAGTGTACGTTTTACTCCAGGCGCCATTTTTCAAGCTTATATTAGCAACCCACAAACGTTGTGGTTCGACATTGACCTAATTAAAGCAAGCAGTACCACAACATTTGTGGGTGGCACACAAAAGATTAGGACATGGGAAGACATAGGCTTAGTATTAGAGAAAGAAACAGGATAGACGCGACGGGGATAAAAGCTAGTGGGCTGACAGTAGTTTGTATAAGAGACGTAGTCCATGTGGCAAAGGCCTGACGATGAGACCTACTCAGAGGCTTGAGCCTCGAATTAGTCACCCAGACGCAGGGCAGGGCCAATAACGTCTCGGGTGGCAGGGGTCGAGTGAAATATGTGAACCAGGGAAAGGGCAAATAGATCTTACGGGGCAAGAGAGAGATTGTGGTAAGACCTAGGGAAGGTGGACTGTGTAACAATATGGCAGATTCTGATCAACACTCCCAGCACAAGGATGAAGGGGGGTAAGAAGGCCAGCGTGGACTGCGGAGCGTTCTCATGAAAGCCGCTAAAAAAAGGGCACACCGTACCACATTTAATTAAGCAAGTAAAAAATTGTGACGCTGAAGGCATGATAGGATATAGGAAATTTGAATAGGCCAGGGCAGAAGGGGAGATACCATAACTGTTTAGCGCACGTTTGGCTAAAGGATCTGCTTCACTTATCTCTGACCAGTTGTAATATGGTGCAATGAATGGAAAAACTCACTGACGATGCCGGCGAAACGTCTGGGAATGTACCACGTCCACGGCCCGACTTTGGAAATGATTATGCATACAACGGACTCAGGACAAGGTTCGTTTATCTAAGTCTTCCTACCAATATGACAAAGTTGCGAAAACAAGGTCAAACAACCTCTATACTACGAAAGGAGACTGCGACCACACAAAAGGCCACACCATCTTGGTCTTCATATCTACATTAACACTGTTGGGCTTACTTCCATTTCGAGTGGAAGTGTTAGGTGAAGAGATTCGAAGGTCGGTTCCACCTGAAGACGACGGCGAAATCATACATACTATTTACCTTTTACTCCCTCGAGTAACTGATCCGACTAGAGCCTACCATCCGGATCTCCTTCATCGTTCCATAGATCTATTCCTTATCTCAGGTTGACTAATTTGATTCGGTTCCAGTACTAGTATAAATTTTACTCCATTCGCTATTTCATTCGCATTTTTAGGTACGCACATTGTCACCTAACCTAGCAGGATGCCTAGCTTCTGATTTGCATGCTTGCAAATGCTAGGCTTTGCAAGGGAAGCAGGGCTTAGGTGCTCTGCTCTGTTAGACAACAGTGTTAATCTATACCAAGAAAAGTTGGGTTTCGAGGAATCTCTTGTTTCATAATTGTTGGGCTTACTTCCATTTCGAGTAGAAGTTTTGGGTGAAGAGATTCGAAGGTCGGTTCCACCAGAAGATGACGGCGAATTCCTCTTGACCAGCTGTCGGTTGGCTTTACTGGAT